TGTAAAATTGCTTAAGAGGCCACAGCCCATTAAAGTTCACAAAGAGAGAGCTAAATGTGTCAAGTCATTTAACACCAAATTATGAAGCTGTCACAGCACCATCCATTATTTATACTAATTTTGGAAAGCTTTCACAAAAGGCGTTATTTCTTGCGTCAACGTATAACGGGTCAAGTACACACAACATAGGCCTATTCCAAAGTTATGCGGTTTTCCATTGACTTGAAAGTTCCACGCCACAATTAATTTTATTTTTAATATCTTTGATTTAATCTTTGGAAAATTCCAGAGTGCCCCTTTTCAAGCTATTCTAGTTGGTCAAAAGCACCTGCCAGACGGTTGGATTTATCATTAATATTGGCTATGTCAATAAGCTTTGTTCTGATTGGCTCACTGTTCCCCTGAAAATAAACAGTGGGTAGAGCTTAGCTCCGATAGGTAGCATGCAATTTGTTGGTATTTTGTGGCACACAAGCATTCATTAGGACATCAAGTCGATCCTTCAATGTCTTCTCTTACTATCATTGTGAAACAAAAAGTGTCGGATTGTTTACCCGCTAATCGGGACTGTGAACTGTGTCTTATGAAAGTTGCTACAATAGACCATATACATCTAAATACAGATAACGTAGTTACTTGGTACAATTGCTATATTGACTAGTCATGCTAGTGTTTCCAAATGTGCTGGTGATGTGAAGGAGTAAAATATTACTTTCAGAATATGAGGTCTGGTAGGGGAACCTGCGTGATGGTTACAAAGTGATCCTCTTTGCAATGTGCCCAAAACACAGCACGATGGCTCCGAAAAACAATTTCTCCAAGATAATCTCTCCATTCCTCAGCTCCTCTGAGGTTTGCAAGTGATGCAAAGTTTTAGCGTTGCACAAGTCACGTTGTTGTTGAGCCATTTTTGCTGAGTTGAACAAAATGGCTTGGATGGCATGCAACGTTGAAGAACACAGTTACAAATTTACTGAATCTGTTAAAAGCCTTGCTAACAAAGAAGCACGGTCCTGTATGATGTTTTTATTTGGCTGATCATCACCAACAATCACTAAATCATTAAAGTTGATACTTGATCCCAAAAAAATAACATGACCTCTGAACAACGTACCTCAGGTATTGTGCTAGTTCAAAAGCATCAAGTTTTAGCTTTGACATCAACATTAAGAATTGTTGTACATGGTGGTTGGTGATTTTAATCACCCAGTTTGTTTTGTTTTTTCTTTTATGATTATTTGATTTTTTTTTTTTTATAACAAAAACTTTAGCTTTGGGTTCCATCCATCAGAGTGGTACCATCCTCACTAATAATATTGTTGTAATGTTGAATATCCAACCTTTATCTGAAATGTGGCGGCACGGTAACCAACTGATTAGAACGTCCGCCTCACAGTACAGAGGTGCAGGGTTCGATTCCAGCTCCGGCCTTCCTGTGTGAAGTTTGCATGTTCTTCCCGTGCCTGTGTAGGTTTTCTTCAGGTGCCCCGGTTTTCTCCCACATTCCAAAAACATGTATGGCATGTGAGTGGAACACTCAAAAGTGTCCCCCAAATTGTCCCTCGTCTATGTGTACCCTGCGATTGGCTGGTAACCCTCGTGAGGATAAACGGATTAGAAAATGGATCGATGGATGGATATCCAAAGGGCCCACCTTCACAAGGGTTGCAGGCATGATGGAACCTATCCCAGCTGTCCTTGGGCGTTAGGTGGGTTAAACTCTGAACTGGTTGCAAGACAATTTCGTATATTGAATAGAAATACAAAAACTAAAGAATTCAATATCTAATGCTTGTCATTTTCACATTACAAAAAAGAGAGAGACAATGAGAGAGAGAGAGAGAGAGAGAGAGAGAGAGAGAGAGAGAGAGAGAGAGAGAGAGAAACAGAGAGGGAGAGACATTAATTTCTGATAGTGCAACCTCATGTTTTGATACTTTTGTATTAGTTGTGAACAGAAAACGAATGTCATCAAACATTTCTATGTTGCAGAATGTGACCCCCTGCTTCCAGTCCAACTCCGAACGATGAAGCCCCTCTGCAATACATGAGCACTTTAATACTATCCTGCACAACAACAACAAAATACATTTATACAAGCCCACCAAGGACATCGTTTTAAAACAGGGCTGCCCTACTGTCAAAGAATATGCTTGTATCTCCCCAGCTGTGGAGGATGTGAAATTGCATCCTGCAGATGCACTGCGGCAGGGTTGAGCATTTGCGAAATGTTATTCCATGGCGTCATCTTGTGGTCGAATAGCGATTCACATGAACGTCTGCGTGGTGGCTGGCGTCCGGCGTGCCTGCCTCGCTGCCACATGATAAAATGGCTTGCTAATTCAAGAGGCGCGGCTACAGGATTTTTTTTCCCCTCTGAGGGTGTTAAGGGGTAGGTGGGTTGTTGCTATCTGCTGATTTTCATGACCTAAGCGGTTCTCTTTTTTTTTCCCTCCAATAAAAGCAGGTAAGCACAACAAGTATGTTCAGTCTAAAATAATTTTAACTCAATTTGAACAAAGAATATTCAACAAAAGAGTTCAGCCTAATGCAAGGCAATGGCAAAACTTTTTCACGTGGAAAGAGGACAGACAGTACAATATATCCACAATGGGAGAAGTCTTTTTATACCATCCATACACCCTCCGATCCGCTTATCCTCACAAGGGTTGCGGGGGTGCTGGAGCCTATCCCAGCTGTCTTCGGGCAGTAGGCGGGGGACACCCTGAACCGGTTGCCAGTCAATCGCAGGGCAGTGTTTTTATACCATATGCATAAATACGGGGGGTGAAGGTGGCAAAAGCACCTCACATCCACCAGAGTTAGGGCACACCCATTCTTGTCAATTGATATAATATCAATCTCTTAACAGATTTCATCACCCCCCCGGCCCCCAGCCTAAAACAAACGGAAAATTAGTTAAGAAAGTTGTGTCATACTTGTTTAGCAAGTCATAGTTCTGATACATAATTTTGAAATAAAAGATTTATTGTCTGTAGATGTATTAAGGAAAGTTTCTGTCAGGCAAATCCATCATGCTGAGCGCGCAGCTGTTACAAGCCACTGAGGAGCAGCATGCAGAGATTTGAAACTGCTGGTTTGTCTCGAGTCCCAAGAAATTTTCCATGCAGGATCCTCGTGCATAAATCGGTCTTTCGGCTACCCCTAACACATCTCACAAGGAAAAAGTTTTGCCATGGGCTCATAATACCAAAGACGATTTTTCAAGACTTCTTGTCATTGATGAACACCTACTTGGGATGGTTGGATGGTCCACTTTCGTGTCAAACGGGAAAAAAGACACATCTGCTGTCATCAATGACCTCAACGACATTTGAGAACCTGCATAACATCCTGAAAAGGAAGAACTATGAAATTACAAGTACTGTAAATCAAAACTAGTGGCTTGTATAGACAAAACCCTCCTATTATCCTCAAATATTACAAACAAATTTAACCCTTGGGGGGAATTTGACCCCAGGGATATTTGGCACCATAAAATTATGTACATTTTTTTTTTGTCCAGGTTTTTGTGTCAGGCACTTGCATAATATGTATGTTGCACACACAAATATCCCCTTGGTCATAAAATTTATTGTTGACCTGTCCTCTACCATCAGGTCAAACTTTTAAATTAAAATTAATGTTAGTGTAAAAAAAAATTTCAAAATAATCTTCTGAAATGTACTGACAACATCAATATATGTTCAGCACATCGAGAAAAATAGCTTCATGATAATTTTATGCTTAATCGGTTGCCCCCATCAAAAAAAGGAAAAGCCATGTAATATGGAGCAAAAAAAAAAGTCACCTATTATTTTTGGACTGATACATTGAATGGAGTCAAACTGGCCCCAAGCATAAAAGGACTGTTAATTTAATTAAATTCTTTAATTACTTAATTGTATCTTGAGTTGCATTTGACATGAGCAATGACTCATCAATAGAGGGCGCTGTGGCGCCACTCTCCTGCTCAGCTGAGTCACCATGAAAGGTACAAAAATGAAGTCATGAAAATTAAATTGTAAAATAAAAAAATACTTGTTTCATTTGATGATGCATTTAGATGAGCAGAAGAAATAGCTGTTATTTATGTGTAAAATAAATTCGTTTCCCTCTCACATCTGAAACGATGGCACCAAGATTGTTTTGTGGAGTTGTCAGTACTTGTGGTTTTTTATCCGTGAGGGTGGTCATTTTGCAGGTGTGAGTTCGATCCCCAGCTCGAGTAAATTTGCGTTGACTTACTTTAAAAAAATAAGAAAAAGAATAAACACTGAACATTATTTATACAGCATTGCGCAACAACCACATCTGTAAAACACACACTACGAAATACATAAATAACAAAATGAATAGTTATCCTGTAATTAAAATATCCAACAACTCCATAAAGCAAACAGTCGGTGCAGTTTTAGTTCTTCCTCCCTTGACACATTGTGCTCACAGAGGACTACCACACACACACACACACACACACACACACGCACGCACACACACGCACACACACACACACACACACACACACACACACACAAAAAAAAATTAGTTTCATGACTTGTGTCCAGCATTTTTTTTCAGAGCACTTTACCACTGCTCAATAACTAGTTGATGTTGACTCAAAGTAACTGTTGGCTAAGTCTCATTTTAAAGTCCAGAGTAAAGACCAAATCCTTAAAAAATAGTATTCTTTCAAATAACTGCATTTCTATCATACACACACACCATTTTATTGCTCTCATCTATTTCTTTACAGTGAACATGCACATTGGTGGAATTTATTAACAAATGGTTAAGCAGAACAATATCTAGATCTTTATAGCGCTACAGTAGAAATACAGTTGACATGAAGACGTCCCAGGTTGGTCATCAACATAACCATGAGGTATTATTTGACAAGTTCTATAACATGAAAGGAAAAGGGTTCATCCATCTCTGGGAAATGTGTCCATTTTGATCTGTGCTCCACAGCCATCTCCTGGCATTTTTGTCCTTGTTAGGTCCTTGTCACCAAGTGGTGTCCATGATTGAGCGGCAGCTTTTGATCCCCGCCTAAAAAAAAAGCACTTATCTTAAATCTTCTGACCATCTTTACTATGACAAAGAGTTAAGAATCCTCGGTAGTTTCTCTTCTGTCACTTTTGCTCGATACTCTACATAAGCATCAATTTCCAATCCTTTTCACACGATAACTGTCCATTGTAAGAGAGAGGTGCTCTATATATAAAACCTGACCGTGTTAAATCATTTCTGTGATCCTTTTCAATCTCTCACTGCTTGTCTGCTTCCACAGGACACAGTTCCGTCCAATACTGTTGCAGTTCTGAGGCTGAAGATGAGAACGGATCCCGAAAGAACCCAACCTTTTGGAATGAGATACAGTGACAATCAAAGCATCGGGTTTTTGTTTTTCTCCCCCCATATTTAACCCAAATAAACCAAGCAAAGCATGCACGCAGGGAGAACAAAGGTTATCAATGAAATTATTTGTTAGAGTTATCATCAGAGAAGGAGGGCTGAGTCCGTCTATTTAAAACAGAGAAACAATGCAGCTGAAATAGTTTCTGAAGGCAATGAAGTCATATACCCACTTCATTCATCTCAATGCACATCATGGAAGAAACTTGCCATCTGAATAAATCAACTCACTCCAGTCTATGTGAGAGCATGTTACAGCGGTACAGAACACAACAACAAAATTAACATGCAGATTTGTCCTGTTGTCTGACATACGAGATGTCACGTTCATCTGCAGACCGACAGCATGCCGCCATGGTATTTGAGAATGCACTTTTAAATCTGAGTATAATATTTGGTCCACATATTTAGCCTGTGGCCATCATAAATGTTGCTTCCTCGGGCAAAGGTAGCAAACAGACTGTACAACCAATCGTACTGTCAAGGTTGTGGTCTACGTATGTGTCATTCAAACACGTCACCTTGTCAAATGCATCGACAGTAAGTTTGAACTGAATAGTCGTTTGCTTATATGGAAACATTTCCATCTTGCGTCTGTTCTTTTTCTACTCTTTCTTTCTGCTTTTCTCTAACTCTAGCGTGCTTTTTCCAGACTTGTTGGCGTAAGCAGTCATTAGAAAAATACTTGATGTCATGTTGTCTTTCTATATTTCAGTGTAAACTTATTTTACAGCGGCCTCCTGATATAGTCCAGAAGATTCCATCATTTTGGAGCTGTTAAGAAATGTAAAGAGCATTGCCAGTAATAACGACATCTTCCAAAAACAGATCAATGGAAATGAATGGAATGACATTTTCGACTGAGCTCAAAATAGCTGAAAACTTGAAATAATGACATATCTGGCGAACAAAAGCACTTCTGTCCTAACCTACCCCAACAACTGATAACATCACATTACCGTATTTCAAAGGAAATATTCCAGTAAGACAGCCAGCCAGAGTTAGTTAGCTCATAAGGAAGCATAGACTTGGTGTGCTGTTTAAGGAAGGTACAACTTTTTTTCTCCTGTATACCAAAACCTTTTTGTTAAAAAATGTTAAACAATGTGAATTATGACACCGAGCAAAAGCGGGTGAATGAATGGTGTAGTTTTCTGATTTCGGTACAATCTGAACTATTCATAGCAACCCCATTAAATTATGTATTTATCTGCTGTAAATCAGATCGTATTGAGATTATTATTATTTTTTTTTTTTTGTGTAAAAGACAATTACATAAACTGCTTGTGATATTTCCCGGAACTGAAGTTTTTAAAACACTTTTCCATCATGTTATTCTTTTGCATTGGGTCTTTTTTTTATTTTTTTATTTCTGCCACTGCCTATTCATGTTAGCCAATTGTACCCCAGATGTGAACTTTCAGGCTGAAAAGAACAATTAATAAAATATCACTTGGTAAAAAGTCAGACAAAGAGTAAGCCCATTCGCCCGTGCACAGCACCCCTGGAGGTTTTGGCCAGCATAAATTACAGCTCCATCTTCTGTGTGTTCGCCACTTACAAGCTGAACGAGACACAATTACAATAAATGTGCTACAGTGGGAAATATGCAAACGGAATGGTTTTCATCTTTGGAAGCAATTATTCCTTTTCATGTCGAGCTTTGTAGTCTACCAGACCTCACCAGTCAGCATTAAGTATGCTAAAAGAATGAAGTTGAATTTCAATAATAACCCTTTTTTTTTCTTCCTTAAAAACAATCTTGTCTCATTCTCATTATGCTGCTACTTAGAAATAGTAAAAACTCGCCTCAGAACCACCACACCTAAGTCACACTTATTGTACATAGAGTGAAATAAACTCCCTGTCTAAATACTAGGGATAAATGCTAAAAGTACAAATAATACGTCCAATAAAGAAGATTAACAAGGACAAATGACAAAGGGAAAGTGACTCTGGAGTAGTTGTCTATGTGGTGTGGATTTTTTATGTGACAGCAGCTTATGAAACCGAGAAGTTTGCGAAAGGTGGCCAGAGCAATGAAACACCAGTTGGTGGCTTCTGGAGGAGAAGCCTCGGGCTTGGGCTCGCTGCCTGTCGGGCTGGATGGGTCGACTGCCAATTCGGTGGCGGCGGGAGCAGCGGCGGGACATGCGTCAGGTTCCTTGCGTCTCTTGGCCCTGTCACAGGGGCTGGAGATGGTGGTGACGATGCCGTTCATTTCATCATCAAAGTTATGCAATTGGTGGCCATACTGTAGCAAAGTGAAAGAGAATGTTAGCTGCGCTTGAAACAACAATAATACGATTGTCTTATTAATTAACTGACGGGCTGACTAACTAACGACTGGTCTACTTTAATGGAAAATACTCTACAATATATTTTATGTGGCCCAACTACAATCTCAACACAGCATTCTTATGTGTGAATTAAGCATTAAAATCCACCCACTTTTATTCATCTCAGGGGCGGCCATTTTGTCACTTGCTGTCGACTGAAAATGACATCACAGTTGCTCAGATGACCAAACCCAGAAAAGGGTGAGCCATGGTTGGTCGTTATTTGATCCCTGATCAACTGTGATGTGATTTTAAGTGGATGCCCGCCCCCTGAGATGGATAAAAACAGGTGCATTTCATAGCTTAATTCATATTCCACAGATCCAATGTTAATCAGAATGCCGTGTTTATTCTAGTGGAGGCGCATAGAACAAACATATTAAAATAAAGAATATTTTTGACTCGCTTCCCCTTAGGATTTGGGTTGTGAATAAATAGATACAGTGCCTAAAAATGAAAAAAAAAAAAACAACGCTCGAACAGAGTATCGAAAAAAATCTTAATGCTCGGTGAACAAAGAGCAACGACTACAACAATGGAAACAGAATAATAACGGGAGTGTCTCACCACCAGCATATGCGAGTCGCTGTAAGTGAGGGTGCAGAAATGAGCCACAGCATACTCTATGAGGGCTCCAAAAATAAAGCTGAAGCAGATTCCTAAGTACACATCAATCGCCTTGATGAAACAGTTGGCATTCGGAAGCGACGTGCGAGCTCCCATCATCAGAGTGGTCATGGTCAGTACTGTGGTCACTCCTGCCATGGAACACATACACGGTGCACATTCTTTAATAAATAAGGTAAGCTAGAAACATGGTGGAAGTTCGAGCCCCCCATTCCAAGCATGTGTGCAATGTCTTAAGCAGAAGCCTGAATTCCCGTTCCCTTGAGATCAGATTTTTTTCGAAATATCATGGCAGTGGACCAGTACAATGGAGGTGGATTTCTCGAGCCCACAGGATCTTTAATGTTAAAAATGATCAATCTAGCTTGTCTCTGTGTCACTTCTTGTACATTTTTTCTGCCTCTTTGCCGCAATGTCTTTGCCTGGTAAATTAAATCCAGAATCTAAGCTTCCTTAAAATGAAGAAAAGTTACAAATGTTTCTGGACAACTTTGAAAAAAGGACAAATGTCAGAAAAAGAGACAGTAAAACACTGTTACTCCCAACCACTGGTCGTTCTAGACAATTTTGCCTGGGGTGGTGAGGGGGTAGCAGAAGGTTCAGTTAGGAGGGCGGATATTATAACACGCACACACACACACACACACACACACAAACACACACACACACACACACACACACACACACACACACACACACACAATCATTTCTAATTCAGGTTTCATTTTCTGCATTCCCTGGCATTTTATGCATGTCATGTGATGTTCAGCAGTAAACCAGTCTGTGTAGGCTATGCAATAACAATTTTCACCTAGAGATCTCACAATTATTTTGCTCATCAATTAATCACCGATAGTATCTGTAATAAGTCGACAAATCAGATAAGATGTAAATTGCAGCATATTGTACCAGTAAACAGCTGCCGTTACATAACCATCATTTGCTTAGAGCCTGAATTCTTTTCGGTATCCATCCCTCCATTATCTGAACTGCTTATCCTCACGAGGTAGCTATCTTCGGGCAGTTGGTGGGGTACACCCTGAACCGGTTACCAGGCAATCGCAAGGCTCACAGAAACAACCACCGATTTATACTCATAAACAGACCAAGAAACAATTTAGAGTGTTCCATTAACCTTCCACACATGTCTTTGGAATGTGGGGGAAAACCAGAGCACCTGGAGAAAACACACACTGGCACAGGAAGAACATGCAAACTCCACAATGGAAGGCCAGAGCTTGGAATCAAAGCCTGGACCTCTGTGCTGTGAGGTGGACATGCTAACCGGTTGAGCACCGTAATGCCATTCTTTAAGGTATGTACAAACTAAAAATTAAGACAATTAAGATGACACTACATTCAACTTCAATTGAACTTTGGATCACGGACCAGGATTCCTGAAATGTTGGTGCTATTTAAAATCAAAGGTGATACTCTGGCCTGAAAACATTTTTAGCTATTTAGGTTTAGTCTCAACTCAACTCAACTCAACTGTATTTATAGAGCACTTTAGTGTATTATAACATGGAGCCAAAACTACTGCATACACTATGCACACTTGTCCTTTGAATATCATGAAATTAATGATAAATACATAAATAAAATCTTGCAAACATAGTTCACTCTTCTCAGGTATCAAGCATTTTGTTACATGTATAAGAATATACAAATGATGAGTAAAACGTGGAATAAGCATGTGCTAAAGAAAATTAAAATAAACATATGTACTGGTTTTTATTTTATGTTTTACGTGACCTTAATTTATTCAAAACATTTTGCTTTGCTTCATAGGATGTATAATTTAAAAGCATCGCTAGACTCGCAAAGCATCACTGGGCGTTCTTTTGTCACCCCCAGTGCATCTGCAAATGTGTTTACCAAAAGCAGACTAGATCTTAGACGAGCTAAAAGGAGGTGTATTGTGCAGGACAGGTCGTGCCACGTGATTTTAGTGTATTCGATTGAGGTGCAGGCAGACAAATTTGTCTGTGGTGGATTTCATTCATAAATACAGTACGAGATCAGCGTGGGACAATCTCTCTGAATCTTTATAGAAATCAATTCATTGAAAGAATTACAAAAATTTGCATCTTAAAAATATTTCCACCTTGTCAAGCACGGTGTACTCGGGTGTATGCTGACTGCCCTGATTTTAAGGAAAATGAGGGATGCCTTCACGATTGCCCGAGAACAGGCTCATTTCACAACGACACGCTACAGCACAAAAGCACTCTGTTGCGCCCAATTCTAGCAAGACGCCAAAAGAAAGAAAAGTCCACCCATGTGCACAGTTTGAATCTGCTTTGCGCTAGACTTGCGCTGTGAATGAAAATAGGACTCTTGGTTTTATGTAATTGTTCTAAATTGTTTGCATTGTGTAAAATGCAATGTGTTGTTGCGATGCTGTACATAATTCTAAGACATGGTTACATGCTTCAATGCTTATCATTGAAAAACGGTGTACTTTCCTCATGTGTTGTATTGTTATGCATAATATAATATATGCTTGGGAACTTGTGTTTTTACACATTCATTACTTCTGACTGGTACATACCTATACAAATTCGTGCGGGAACAGAGGACAGGGAAATCCAGAAGGAGACCCAAGAAAGGACCACCAATAGGCTTGATGGGACATATGTCTCCAGGATGAAGTACAGAATGCTCCTCTTCAGCTCAAAGTGGAAGACCAGCTTGGGGTAGTGACCTTTTAAACAAAAGGCAGCAAGCATGTCAATCTCCTTAGCAAATACATTGACTATACACTATACAACAATTGAGTACCTCTGGGCGAAGAGCAGCTTCATTTTTGTGAAGGGCTTATGTGTTTGTTATTTATTAGGGCATTTACATGGAAAACACGTCTCTACTTTCAACATTTTCTCGTTAAAACATTTCTTCCAGAACCAATTAATTTTGTAAGTAGAGGTACCATAGATATAGATGTATGTGTATGTGTGTGTGTGTGTGCGCGCGCGCGCGCACACACACACACACACACACACACACACACACACACACACGAACACACACATCCATTTTCTGATCCGCTTATCCTCTCAAGGGTTGCGGGGCATGCTGGAGCCCATCCCAGTCAGGAGGCGGGGGATACCCTAAACTGCTTGCCAGCCAATCACAGGGGACACAGAGAAACAACCATCCGTGCTCATACTCACACCGAGGGGTAATTTAGAGTGTTCGATTAACCTGCTACATATATTTTTGCAATGTGGAAACCGGAGTACCCGGAAAAAGCCCACGCAGGCACGGAGAGAACATGCAAACTCCACACAGGAAGGCCGAAGCCAGAATCGAACCCTGCACCTCTGCACTGTGGGGTCGATGCGCTAACCACTGGGCCGCATAATAATATTATAATTATTATTATTATGATGATGATGATGATGATGATGATGATGATGATAAATTAGATCCCTTTCCCGTTACGACCATTAAAATGTTGCCATCATAGTTACCAGTTTCATAGATAGCCTCTGACACCGAGGTGTAGTGGTCCTCCACTGTGTACTGCGCGAGTTGAAGAGTGTCGAGGCCACTGACAGACTCATTTCCTCTGGTCCAATAGAACATGACATCATTGATGTTGTAACCCCCTATAGAACGAGAGACCAATGGAAGTGAAACGTTTTTTTTCGGGAACATTGCACAAAATGAATTTTACAAGAGGTATGTCAGTAGAAATTAATCACTTGCCTTCAACAGAATTCATCAAATAAGCACACTAGGATATCACCAGACTTGGAGCAGAATCATCCTTTTTAACACAGTGCAACGCACTCTTGCTCAAGTGGAGCTGCAATTTTTGCATTCACAGCTTTTGTTCTCATGCGACAGAGCAAAGCTGTTATTCATACAAGGTACTGTGGAATGCAGCACTGCTGAGGACACCTTGAAAAGTGAATTCACTGTGCTCCACCCACGGTTAGGTTATTATGCTGATTACAAGCTAGAGATGGCGTAAAGTCCCTTTTAAAAGAGTACTAGACCAAATTCAAAACTCCTTGCAAAAGCCAGTTTTAAGAGAATTAAGGGGGATCCTACATTCAAATCATTCTGCTTTCGTCGCAACACCTGAAATGGACAAACTGTGTCAGAACCTCAACCAAGCATTGAAAACATTGTCACTGTTTAATGCATTCTAGCCGCAGTGGAAAAAGAATATTCTCAGTGTAATAAAGCTAACACAGTTTGACTAAATACAGTCCAAAAGGAATTGTTCACATAAATGCATTTGTCATTAAAACTCCTGATAAAAGGCCTAACTCTTGCCTCATACAGACCACACTAATCATGCATATTGCACTGGACCCCAGAGAGTTTTGGTAACCCAGATGAACCTTTGGAAAACAAAAACAAAAACATGTCAAATGTATTTGTTTTATAATATTGCACAACAAACAACTGTGGCAAATGCCGACTTTCGCTACTTTGAGAGATCTTCAGCTTAGTGCATCACTTTATTGGTCAAAATTCATACGATATTACATGAATCAAAACTGAGCACTGTTATCATTGGGTTTACATGATACAATGTTAGCTGATGTTGTGGCTAGTTATTCGCACCTCACCGAGAAGTAACAAATATGATTAAACGTCATTGGTGTGCTTCCTATATTCTTCACCAGAGGGTGCAAGACATGGTTAAAAGGACCATTGCTGTAATCGTTCTCGGCCTCACTTTAATTACTTGTCATCTCTGCATGTATTATTTGATTTATTATTGATTCTGTCAATAATTAACCACAGGAGCCCCGTATAAGAGCAACAGTTCAACTTATATTTGTTGTTTCTGAACAACAATGGAAAAAAGCGCTGTACATTATAATATCTATGCAGATGTTCCCCAAAACTAAAATACCGCATGGCTCAGAATCAAATGATTCCCCCAATGTAAATTACAGCAAATATCACAGCTGACACATCTCCTCACATTGCTGTCAGAAACCATTAAATATTTTAACCTAATGCTCAGCACCCTCCCACAGTGACACCATACTCTGCTGTCAACTGATTTCTTTGCTTCCATCTTCACACTGGGAGATATGGAAGACATAGAGGAGAATGAGGGCGAACCGAAAGTAAGAGGGAGGCCTCAGTAAATCGAGCCAGAAGATCAAAGAGAAACTTGAGGGAAGAGCGAAAGACAGCGGCAAAAGGTGCAGATATTTGGCTGGGAATTATTGAGGCAGCAGAGGAGGGAGCCATCATCCTTTCAGCTTCAACCTCCAGATGTCTTTTGTCTGTTAAGGGGGATTGTAACTCCTTCTTTTTCGTTTCTTTTCACTATGTTTCCTTTCATTTCGGCACTAATGGCTTGGTTGGCTTGTGGCAGGGACCGGAATGGTCTAAGCCTGCATGGCTTACTGTCATTTAAAAGCACGGCATCAGCGAGGTGATGGAAAATGCAGAAGGGAGTATGTTTCTCATCTCACAGTCATTTCATCACAAGATTTTGTTATAAAGATGCTCCTGCTGCCTTCTTGATAAAAACAAAATCATGAAAAAAAATCGATAAATTACACAAGGGCTCACCAACATTTGAAAACCAAGAGCTGATTGATGCAAACCGCTAACAAACTGTTACACACTTTGGAAATAAGTGTACTCAAATTACCTTCACTTACATCGTATTATGAATAATTAATTCTTTAATGTGAAGACACCGATGTTAATGATGTCTCACAATAATTATCAACGACAGTTAGGAGAGAAATAATCGTCATCATAAGCAACAGGATTTCTATAAATCATCATCGCATAGTCCCATCACTGGTGAGCTATTTTTATAACGGGCCTTTGGACGATTCATGCGGTCCTTGGGGATGACCTGGTGCCCACGGGCACCATGATGGTGACCCCTGGATTGCACCAATTGATTGTGACTTGCTATGCTTTGCCCCACTTATTCTTGTACACACACAACCATAAGAAAATGCGGCGCCATGATCACAATTAACAATGACCAAAATATCTTAAGTAGCAATACATCGTGAACAGCATGAATGCCAAAATAGAGCCAAACTATCCTCATCGAGCGGGAATGTGGGACAGTTAGGATATGTGTCATGGCAGCGTAAAAGAGGAAAAAAATACGTGAGTAAAAATGCAATGCAATGCTCGGTGATGTATACACACTGTGTCTGTCCGAGCAATACAAACAAGTGCTATGAAAAACACACGCTGTTAATCTAAACTACAACAAATGTATCGACAGTTACAGTACATATTTTCTACATATGCTGCAGTAGTGGTGTCTCCATCATTAAATAAGCGAATAATCTCAGATAACATTCAATAAAGTAATACTGAGGTTCACCTCATACAAATCAAAGGTGGGAAAGGTCAGCACAGGCTAACTGAAACATATGTTGTGTTACTTAGTAGATTTATTGAATTACACTTTTATCGCTTCCTTGTGTTTTATCACAGTCCAAAGTTGAAACTGGAGTTGTACATGTATGTAACTATATCATATATATATAAAGGGTTAACCCTTTTAGGGACAGCGGTTACTACAGTGGACATCTCATCAGGTTATCAGGTTGTCATTATATGTGAATAACAGGGTTAAAGACAATTACGTTTGAATGCAAGAAAAAACATGAACTATTCCTAAAAGGGTGAACTGCAGAGAAGGCTACAGAGCTGAGGCCAAGAGACAGAAAGAGGAGGTTCTTACAGCTCTCCAGTTGTAGCGTGCAGGTCTGCTTGTCCATTGGGTACTTGGTCAAATCCATGTTACAGGCCACAGTGGTGGTAATTCTGTGGGACATGAACGTACCAGTTAATTACAGCGTTGCGGAAGCCAACTTTGATTGGCTTTTCATTCAATGTTGACATTGAAAAAGATAATGCTACAATTTATGTAGTCAGTTTTGTCACTGTCCTGCTCTGCTTTTTTTCCCCCTTTTTGTTTGTAGGATCTTTGGAGAGGGTTGGTGGGTGGGAGTCTTCTGTGATTAATTGAATTACGCAAGAGAACTGCTCACTTGTGTCTTTCTCCTCTGGCCACAGTGCCACAATTTCTGACTTTGCCAACATATCACAAGCACGCTAATGCCATCATCAAATTGATGACATGAAATCATCTGACAAAAAACGGATGCAATATGTCGTATATACAGTGTAAGAAGTCGTCTAAATATTTTTACTTTAGCCCTGTTCACACGGCAAGATTTACTCCGACGCTGCACCGACTCTACGCCAGTGGAGCGTTCACACGTGCAAATTTACTTCGACGTAGCGCCGCTCAACAGCCTAGTGCGCATTAAATTTGATCCACCTCAGGGAGGTGGTTTAAAAATTTGCTCCGAAGCAAATGCTCGTTTGCGAAGCAGCACCGAAGCAAATGTGCGCGTGTGAACGCAACTGGCGTAAATTTGCTCCAGAGCAAATGCTCGCTTGCGGGGGAGTGGCCTCGCAGCAGTGACGTCAGCCGAGCCCGATTTGCAGGCCCGAGCCTGAAGCAAACCCGACATTTCATATTTTATTTGTGAGTATTTTGGGGAGAAAAAAACGCAAGATTTCTTACGGTTAAAATAATCTAGGTATTTTTATGAACATTATCAATGCATTTGCACAACGAAATAACGCTGAAATACAGAATAAGAGGCCAGACAAAGAGAAATCTCGATGTGCATTTGCTTGATTACGCAGAGAAATCCTGCGGCTTACTAGGCTTTAAATAGAATAATTCAAATGAAATAAATAGGTAAAGATATCTGAAATTATTTCTACAGGATTGTTTAAACGAAATTAACATACATGCGCACTGGTCTGGCCGGCTGCGCTCCTGTTTAGCAGTTAAATAGCAATTAAATTACAGCGCATTCTCTGTTTTATCCAAATTGTTTGTTTTAAAACAAGTATTCCTTAGTTTAGTATCCGCACATTGTTTTAGTATACATTTTTTAAAACATATATTGTGGCAGTCATCAGGAGCACACACGATTGACTGTAAACACGTCTTTATTCCACGACTGACGACAAGTGGATCTATTCTGAACAAGGACAGAATAGTGTCCACCATAATATTTATTAAAAGAAAAATAAATAAAAGTCCGCGAGAGAGAAGCCCGACCCGAACCTGTTTTACTTCCGCATTCCTGTCGTTTTGGTCCGGAGCAGAAAGTGCACGTGTGACCGCAAGTTCGCTGCTTCGACGCTGCGCCGGAGTTGTCACGCTCAGCGGCTTTGCACGTGTGAACGCTCCACAAAATTTGCTCCGGTGTAAAATACATCGCAACAAAATATTTCGGAGCTGCGTCGGACCAAATGTGTGCCGTGTGAACAGGGCTTATGTGTGCCCTGCAACCACTTCAGGGTGTACCCCAACTACTGCCCAAAGACTGCTGGGATAGGCTCCAGCACACCCGCGACCCTCGTCAGGATAAGTGGAAAATGGATGCATGGATGGATTAAGGCATAGAAATTGTATGGCGTGTAGCAAGAATGAATCTGTAACAAGGAAGTGGCAAGTCTGAGCTTGTACACACATTTTATGAAAAAAATCGACACATGCCAGCTTTTTGTGATAGGATGGCAGCAAGACAAAACATTTCCAAATGTTTTTCACCATGAATGTGGCCTATAGAATGTAACGAGAGGGTATGAGTACAAAATAAACAACTGAAATAATGTTGTTGCACAAGTTTGCTAAGCCTCCTATGACTGGGGATGTGGCCGTACTCAGAATGAACTAATCCCATTCACAGTCTTGTTAGATGATGGTCCTCACGCACATGCCATCGTTTAACATGCCTCAGATTAACCCCAAATAAAGAACAGATAATATAGTAGGCTCTGATTGAAATGTTTGATGAAAATCCTCTCGTGGAGAAATTATGGCATAACATTAACATCTCATCCTTAGAACTGAGGCTGCATAAACCATTAAAGGAGGTGAAAGACATTTGGCAAGTTATTTGACTTTCAGTTTAGTCCCCTTTTAGGCAGGGACCACCACAGAGAGTTACTTACATGTTACAGTGTGTTTGGCACACTTTCTACCCTGGATGTGTAAATTTCTGCCACGGACTGGGTGTTTAATTACTGTGACAACAATTTCCAGGAAAGAAAATCATCCAAGCCATGCTGCATGTCACGTTTAAATCAACAGGCGGGTGGTTTGTGCAGCAAACTACCAGCGGTGCCTCAAGCGTGTCGCTTTTGGTTCCTGAAAATGAAAGCGGTAGCACGGTCACTTTGTTTGCTGTTGTGTGAGAGTGAAGATTTGATCAGTGCTATTGCTTTTCGGGTGCTGTGTTTTTTTTTTTGTGTGTGTGATTGGTAAATTCTGAACACAACCACATGCGCACTTGTGAAATCGCATTACCTCAGTTATTTATTGTGACTTCAATTCTCAAAAATATATGTTGTTTTTGTTATTGTATGGTGGCCCGGTAGTCCAGTGGTTAGTGCGTCGACCTCACGGTGCAGAAGTACTGGGTTCAATTCCAGTTCCGGCCTCCCTGCGTTTTCTCCGGGTACTCCGGTTTCCTCCCACATTCCAAAAACATGCATGGCAGGCTGATTAAACACTCAAAATTGTCCCGAAGTGTGAGTGTGAGCGCGAATGGTTGTTCATCTCTGTGTGCCGTGCGATTGGCTTGCAACCGGTTCAGGGTGTCCCCGCCTACTGCCCGAAGACAGCAGGGATAGGCTCCGGCTCCCCCTGTGACCCTTGTGAGGATAAGCGGCTCGGAAAATGAATGAATGAATGTTGTTATTGTTCAGCTCGGTCCCATTTTTTCACATCACTAAAATCCAGCATTGCAACAGCAACACACGAGGTACGCATTGCCTGTGGTGATGGAGCCATATTTTGATAATATCTCGTCTGGCTCCAAATTAATAGCAGGATCGCATTCCCAAATCTATTGTAACCATAAAGGTTATTTCAACCTTAATTTGCGATTTTAACACAGACCTTTGATTGTGAATGAATCCCTCTGACATTGCTTCATTAAATCTCACCTCTAAACGGCTTGACTGTGCCTACATCTCAGTGCTTTCTCATGTAATCCCTTAGGCCAAGTGTTGAAACATTTACCAAAGCTCTAACACCTCACACTATCTCTTTTCTCAGCCCCAATTCCCCGAGGTAGCCCTTCCTCTTCTGACTATCCTTTTTGTCCTGTTTCAATCCTACTAGCCCAACTCTCTCACCACTGTCCCACTTCACATCTCGGTATCAGTGAAGCCCAAGGACCTTTAGACCACGCATCACAAAATACATCAAGAAGTAAATAAATAACATTGCACATGTTGGCAACACAACAAACTCTCCTCGCAGTGGCACGTCATCCATAAAGAGAGACCGAACTGAGCGGGAATACCCAACTCAATTTTACCACAGCAAGATGCTCACGCTAATTTATTCCCCCTCCCCAAAGCTGACATTAACAACGGCGGAGATGTCTCTGTGTGAAATGTACCCTCTTTTCCTACACTTAATTGTTGTGAACTGTTGAGGTCAAGCCCCTAGAATATATGGTGAGTCAATATAATTCAGGTCTATAGAGTTTCTATTGTGGAATCTATGGACACTGGAACATCAAAGTCGGTTAACGTATACCAAATAAATATGTCAAATCCGATAATCAGTCTAAGATCACTGGCTAATGTAAAATATTGCAATTCATAATTGATATGCTCAATGAATGCATTTTGCATAAAGGTAATATTCATACAGCAATATGCTTTGAATATGAAAACTTAGATATTTTGAGAGCCTGAAGCTTTTTCTATTGACAGATCACATGCTTTCCCTATGCTTCAATCCATCGGTAGTGGTATTGACTTAAATCCCTGCTCAATAATGACGTCATCAACCCTTTGTGGGCTTTAGCCAATTTCTTCTCCCTTCCCGCCTTTCCCCCCTCATGACTTTGCATTGCTTCGTAAAGCAGAGAACAGACCCAACAACCAATAACCCGGCAGCTACGTGCATTATCTGACCTCAGCGCATAAAGGACGGTCCCATTTGGAAAGATGCGGATCAGTCTGTTCTCCACAGTGATGTCATGAAGAAAAGATTTCTTGGAGTCCACAATGAAAGTGTCAGGCACCCAAAGGAGCTCCACAAGGCGCCCGTCAAGGCTCAGGCTCTTGTTGCCTTCAAACACCAAACGCTCGTCTGTCCAGCGCTGCCGGAGGAATATGGTGGCTGTATAGTCCTACAAGATTGAGGTCCAAAGGTTAGAACAAAACTAATGGACTGCTTTACCAAAATATGCTGACAGACAAGCAATGTTTTTGCTAACGATGACATTCCTGTGTAGTTTTTTTATTGGTGGCAATGCATCAAGTCCCTGAGCTGTTCTATGCCTCAAGCATTTGAAACGGAACACGTTGCATCGACTCAGCAATTTAGCCTCTACGTTTGAGAGAACACAGCAGGGTCCAGGTATCGTGGGTTGCTTTGTGTATATCAGTACTGCAAGTTCTTCTGAGAAGTGTTAATGACTATCGAGCTTCCCACTGTGTTTGTTCATTGCCCATCAAAGAGCTTGCTGCTAATGTGAGTAAGCAAATGTTCAGGTAATTGTTTTACATTCATGAGTATAATGTGATTTGTGTGGTTTTTGAAGGGCTTGACGGTGTTGGGAAGGGGTTGTGACAGACTGTCACTTTTACTCTATTATTTGGAGGGTATGATAAGTTAGTTTAAATTGTAAAGGTCAGACCCACAAAATTACAGAAGAGAAATGAATCACTTTGCTAACATAAATTATATTTGGAAACTCACGATGGATTATACTGTTGATATTGGTAATTATAAGCAACATTGGTGCTTATGGAAACAAAAGTTAAAAATAAAAGCATGCAATGTTATGAATAAATAGATGAAATAAAATGTTTTTTTAATGTGATTTATTTGGGTACCTGTTTTCAATTGGAAATGAGTTGATAAAAAACAGAAAGGAGGAGGGGTCCTCTGTTTCTGATGTTATTTCATAGTTAGGAATGTAACAATATGTTGTCACACGCAAGAGAAGGTGCGTTAGTGTCCTGTCTAATTGTTTCTATTTGATTATTTTATATTTATGACCTAGAAGTGTTTTTCAGATACATAATTTGCTTTACTGCATTAGTATTGATGAGTCTCTTTGGGTCTCCTAATTTTTTAAGTTATAAAAAAAAATAATCCATTCACCTTGAGAACGTAATTTTTGCACATCTGATGTGTAAGCCGTCACAATAACAGATCTTCCACTCAAACGTCACGGGATGACATCTGTTGCCTCGATTTGATGAGGTTGTTGACCTTGAAATTCCTGTTTGTGCCTACTTTGGCTATTCGAATTTGCTGAACATAGGCAGAAATTGAACACATAAAGCACCCCAAACTAGCTCACTGCTGTGAACTTTTCAGGCGACGTAAGAAATTAGGAATTCTTGTGAGACCGAGACATCTGTTTCATCAGACGTGGGGGTGGCTGATATTGGAGAATTTCCCAGCTCATGGACTGGCATGGTCTGCGTTTGTGACATTTGTTGGATGCATGGCCAAATTCACACACTGAATGTTGGAAGGACTTCTACAGTCAAAGTTAAGTTCGGTCCCTAGTGGACATCACTGCAGTTCTTACATGAAATCCATTATTTTTAAGTTTTTGTCCCCCCCCACCCCCCAAAAAAAAAATCTGATTTGAGGTGGTCTTTTCTTGGACTTCTCCAGGGCAAAATTGCATAATGAAAATATGACCGGAAACCAATTAGTCACAATTAATATTGTTTGTACCTTATCAGTCACACCATATCTAACTACCTACTCAGTAATTGTTTTGTTGAATCTTGGTGATGCTAGAATCAGGAACATTTTTTTTGTTTGTTTTTATTTCATAAAATCTGTGTTCAAACTTGTGTCTCGCCGCCCCCACCACCCCTGCTCAACCCCGCAAGCACCCCCCCCCCCACAAAAAAAATCAATATGTTGCACAGCTCTCTCCCGAGTGATAAATTCAGCCTATCCAGTTTCTGTGAAGACAAGCGTGAATGTATTGGGAGCCCTATTTCTAATCACCAAAGAGTTGGAGCAAATAGTGTACCGGGATGTGGAATGTACATCATTTCCACTTTAAAAATACAGATTTGAACAAAGGGCAATCTAAAGAACTTGTGGGAAAAAAATACAGTACATAGTTTGTTGAGTTGTATTGTTGCATATTTTAATTGAAGTCATGAAAAATGGGAGGAATCAATAGTGCTGACTTTATCCTTATTATCATGAAGACCAGATTGAGAAATGGTGAAAAGCGCACGCACACACACACACACACACACACACACACACACACACACACACACACACACACACACACACACACACACACACAAAACTGTCTTACCATATTGATCTCTGATATGGTGTCAATACTAGCAATGTCCAAGCTCATACCAACAGTCACAGGACCATCTAGGAAAATAGAAAAAGCGAACAATATACACAATACATCTTGGAGGATTGTGGAATTATAAGTAATGTTAAGCAGTCATGGAGAATTAAAAAATGTGTGCTGACCAGGGAACATTTCTTTGAAAAATCAAGCCCTTGTATTTAACGGTCGAATCTTGTTAAGAATTAAATGCCAGTTGTTTTCCCTGTATCAGAATCAAATGTACTCATATATAACATTAAGCATGTGCTCTATTTGTTCTCTTACTGAAATTACATTGAAATAAATAATGAATATCAACTATTAATTACTGTACCGAGTGTGGTCTATAAATAGTATTGTACTACCGTATTTTCCCCACGATAAGGCACTTCGGAGTATAAGGCCCACCTTCAATGAAAGGCCCTTTCTCAAAACTGTTTTCATATACAGGGCTCACTGCATTATAAGGCGCATAGAATGGATGCTACAATAGTGGCTGTGGATGCGTTTTGCATCCACTAAATGGAGCTACGCTGAAGGGAATATTATACAATACACTACTGCTTTATTTATATAGAGCTTTCGCAACCATTGCAGTTGGAACAAAGTGCTTTACAGAATATTTAAAATACTACTTCCAGGAAATAAGAATATTGATCCATATATAAGGCGCATTGGATTAAAGGTGCAGTGTTGGCTTTTGATAAAATGGAATGCTTTTTAGGTGTGCCTTATAGTGCGGAAAATACGGTACCTTTATTTGGCAAACTGAAACATACCGTATGTCATTATACTATTCTGACTGTAGAAACAACCTTGCACATAATAAGATCATACAGAATGGTCATCCCCGCAGTGAAAGGGTCATTTGTACATGAGAATGTAGTTTCCTTACTGTCAAAGAACGGCCTCAGGTACTTGTTATATCCTTTCATCAGCTTTTGAATGGTTGGAGGCAGAATTTCTCCTTCCTTCATTTCTGCATTGAGCATGGAGCTCTCTAGCAACCTGAGGAGCACAGTAAGAAGACAAAACAGTGAAGAAATCTGCGGGGGGGTTGTTTGTTTGTTTTTTTGGGGGGGTTGTGCTACACTGTGGGGTGATCATATTAGTTGTAGTGCAAATCTTACCAACACCAGCTGAGAGAGGACATGGCATGAAATTGAGATAAATGGGATTTTCCAATAAAAGAAAAACATGAAGCACACACAAAAGGCTTGTTGAGTTGTTTTGAATAACTTTTTATATTTCATAGGATCCACCCATTCACTATGCGCTTGCATTTTAATTGGTGGCTTTCAAGAAATTTGTCGTCTTTTTTTTTTTTGCTACGAACGTTATCAATAAAGGCTTATTGAAATGTGGGAAGCCAATTATATGGCTTGCAATTGCGATATGCAGTGGGCCCCACCCAGTCCTCCCCCCATCTTTATGTTACTGTCAAGTCAAGTCAAGTACAACTTTATTGTCAAATGTGCAGTATGTGCAACATACAGCACAGATGAAATTTCATCCCTCTCAAACAGACAATAAGAAAACAAGAGGAGCGGCTGCGGCTGCCCGCGCAGCCATCAAAACTGTCTGTGCGTGCTTGTGTAGAAACTGGGAAATGGGATATTCAAGACATTTTCTTGTGGACAAAAAGCTCCTGTAGGCAGATGCCAATGACGTAAGAGGTGAATGGAGGAGGAGAGAGTAAGCTGTTACAGAGACAAGCCTCATTCTCGCTCCACATGCTGCATCAGATTCCCATCGCTCACTATTCTATAATGAACAAAAAAAATTGTCATCTAAAAAAAATGATGCAACAGGGTCAAAGTTAAAGCTGCAACAAAGTTAAAGCGCATATGAGTTCCTGTCAAGATATTGAGATATTCTTTTGTGGTCTTCCTTTGTTCGACAATATCAGAGTCAGGAATGTTGACGTCTCAACCATCACACCACATGAGCATTGTTTTATGCAGTCCTTCTGAAATAGTGGGGCGGGGTGCCCGGGGAAGGCATCGTGCAGTATGTGCGTGCGTGTGCGTGTGCGTGTGCGTGTGCGTGTGCAGAATCAAGTGCAGAATCAAGTGTAATTGCACAAACACTATTATAGGTGACGGTGGCAATCCCATTGTCAGAGTGTGCATCGGGAGTTTTAGCTATAAGACAGGCGGGCCGAAATGCGCTCCTCAAGAGCCCCCATCTTGCCTGTTTTATATGCTTCCCTGCTCCAACACTTCTGATTCAAACGATCAGAATCATTATCCGGCTTCTGCAAAGCTTGCTGATGAGCCGATTGAATTAAGTGGCAGGATGTAAACATGTAAAATAGACTGGAAGAGGGGCTCTTGGGGCACCAGTGATCTAAAACATTCATTCATTCATTCATTTTCCGAATCGCTTTGTCCTAACTACGGTCGCGGGGGGTGCCGGAGCCTATCCCAGCTGTCTTCGGGCAGTAGGCGGGGGACGCCCTGAATAGGTTGCCAGCCAATCGCAGGGCACACAGAGACGAACAACCATTCACACCCACACTTACACCTAGGGACAATTTAGAGTGTTCAATCAGCCTGCCATGCATGTTTTTGGAATGTGGGAGGAAACCGGAGTACCTGGAGAAAACCCACGCAGGCCCGGGGAGAACATGCAAACGTCACACAGGGAGGACGGAGCTGGAAGTGAACCCGGTACCTCTGCACTGTGAAGTCGACATGCTAACCACTGGACTACCAGGCGGCCCTAATCTAAAACATTGTTTATTTATTTATTTATTTATTTTGCACTGTGCATGCACACACACAGCATAGAGTATGGCATAAGTAGTGAAGTGACCAAACGCACAAAAGGCACAGTGGAAACATACTGAACAAGGATGACAAGAAAGGTACAGAGCGAATAAAAACAATGTTAAATGAAGTTGTTCTTTGTTGTAAGTTGATTTTTTTTTCTTCTTTATTAATATGCCAAGCAATGTTATGCAGAGGTGTACTTACAGAACTGTGATAGGCAAATGATACTGTTTACTGTATAGTGGTGGCAGAGAGTTGGGGGGGCTGCAAAATATATTCTTCTTCCTAGCAGTGCATATCAGAAAATAATTGAGACGCACTGGTTTAATGCAACAAACTAAATATACTGTCCATCAAGAAAATTGGGATATTAGTGGAGCAATAAATGCAATAGTGTAGTCGTTGAAACTTAAATGAACTGCAGGGAGCAAAGAATTTCTCTTTTTTTTTTAATTCTAGACCAAGTCATTTCACATCTGTGGCACCAGGCGAATGATCTTTCATGCGTCTACTGTGAGCAGTAACATTTTATATGCTATGCTTTGTTGCACAGACGTGGTGGAATGAGTCACTGTAGATGGCACTCTATATTTGCAAATACAGCATATCAAAGTTTTAGATAAATGGGAAATTAACATCAAATATTTTTAAACAATAAAAAAACATTCTGGATAAAAGCAACCTGCATAATTTGTATTTTGAAAGTCATATTAAAAATGCAATAAATGACTGTTAAATGAAATATTTCAAAATTCTATCTCATGCTTGTCCTACTTGTCAAAGCCCCATGTGGCCTCCAAGTGGAACCTCTGGAGCTGACAAGCTTCCTCACAGATGAATCCGAAGTTCAGCTTTTAGACCACCTGACTGTGTCAAATAAGCGGAGACAGCTGGTAAGTTGCTCCCAGCACCCTGTTGCTATGCTGCATGAAGTCTCACTCACATGGCTTACAGCCTGTTGTTTCAGCAGGCAACAGTCTTGGATGCTAAAGCCATGGTCGTGACGGCGGTGACAGCGCTCTGCCTCTGGCCCACTGCATTATCATTCTAGCTCACCCTGTAGGGTTACATTCACAATTATGCTTGCAAAATGCATGAGTGGATTCTTTGGCTTTTTTTTTTTTTTTTTAAACCAAACCGCTTAAGAAAACATTTCTGCTACAATGTAGTAGACAACAGTGGTGGCTGAGGAAATAAAATGGAATGACTGGAAATATATCCTCAATTATGATTCAATTATGTTATATTTGATGTGCAAGTAATATATATTATAGACTGACAATAAAATGCTGCCTCTCAAAAAATAACATCTGCTCACATTAGGCAGAAATGGCACTTCATACAATGGCTACTTTTTTGCCCAGCTACTTTGTAAGTAAAACTACAATTGTGGCATGGTTGAATGAGTGGTCAAAATATGTCATTACGTGGAACGGATCCATGGGGGGAAAAAAATGATTGAGGACCACTGCCCTATAGAAATGCGCTGAATCAGCTGATTGTAGTGACCTCCTACATGGACTACAGCAAGTCAGTTTACGCTTCCGCCATATAAACCAGGCGCTTCTCCTGCGCTGAATTTAAAGGGAATGCGGGAGTTGCTTCCATTGGTCGTAAACAAGCCAGCTGTGTTCACTCCCACAATGGCGCAAACGCCCATTTCTATCTGTGTGCCTCTACGAAAATACCAAACGTAAGACAACCCCACACATACTTTATTCTTCACTTCTTGTAACAGTCACTTACTTCCCTTTAGGTTTAGATTGCTTTTGTAATCAATAAGACTTCTTTATTTATTACAGTATGTGAAGACAGCATGATAAAGAGGAAAAGTAGATATTTTGTTGTCTTGCTATGGTTTAAGCAGCACATGAAACAGTAACACACCTGCTTCTGCCCACAAACACCTTCTATTTTTGAGCTGCGGTAACTTTCTCCTCCCATTTGAAAGCAAAGTCTTCAGAGGGCACATTTTCCCAGGGTGGAATCTGACAGACCTGACACACCTGCCCACTGGGCTGCCTATCAAGAATGATAAGATAACACACTGAGGGCCCACAACTGAGCTCAGGGCGCTGATGCAATACAGACGGGAAGCCATACTTAAGATCCAGATCCAAAAAAAAACATACTTCCACATTTTTCATTGTCATTTATGTTTTCCAAGGCTTCAAAAGATTAAACTGACAATATTCCTAAATGAACACTCCATATCTTTCTGGTACGCATACAAATTGAGGCATGCTATTATCAATACTTATTAGAAGAGAATTCATTTTTATACCACAAATTACACTGATTTCAATTTAGAATGTAAATACAGAGATCTCGAGGTGGTTTTACATGAGCTGAGCTGCCACCACCAGAAAAAGCCTTGCCACCCCGACTGTTGGCAATGAGTCAATCAATACTAAATTCTTTATGTTTTATTAGAGATTTTTCTGATATTGTCTTCATAGTGTGTATAAACATTTTAATCAGAATTCACTTGCACTCGCCCCCTTTGCCTCCCACCGTGACTCCAATTAAGGAAAAAACTCAAGTGCATTTTACCTTGACTATCCCAAGCTGACCGTAGACAATTGAGTAAGCCGATAGTATATTTGTCATTACTCCTTATGTGATATGTTCGAAAAGTCTGTCGAGTGTAACAACATCAGAATTTTTAACTATTTGGTGCTTAATGAAGCGCCGCAGCAGAGCTAACTTTATGTCGCCTATGTAGAGGCTTGCTGCCCGACTATATTCAATTATATTTTAAAAACAATATATTGTAACGTCTTCCAAGGATCATGGGAAAGATTAGTCAGCAAACTCATGTTTACTTACGAAAAAACAATTGGTAATCGCGATTAGTTGACTAATCGAATCATATGTGAATCGCAGCATATCGCACCAGCAAGCCACTGCTACTATATAACCATCATTATCTTACAACTTGAATTTTTTAAAGTATGTACAAGCATTCCAGACATGTTTACAAATGATGGAGCAACTTAAATTGAAGGCGATATTGTGGCCTTATAACGTTTTGCTGGAAATGGTTAGGGTGGTTTACATTGGAAAAAAAAAAGATACACTCTGCAGAGTTTCACAAATACTATGAAACTATAAATAGAAAAAGAAATATAAACGTTTTTCACTCCCCCTCCTTGAGCACCACGTCTTTTTTATGTCTTTTTTTTTTGATGGAGAAGGTAGTGAAATCAGATGAGTAAGATATGGAAAATGTAC